AAACCTGAACTATTTCATTAGTATATAACTTACAACTAGTTGAAAGTGTTACTGAGCATATTTATTTTAGCTGGTGAAACGCAATAAATATATAGATTTTTTTCATGAAAACTATCTTCACACAGTGAGTTGGAAACTAGTTATTGACATCCCTGCAGAGAAACAGTATTATTTGATTAGCACTTCTGGTTGTAGAGACATTCAGGAAGGTCACATTCTATGGTTTCTGGTATGTGAGTGCGAAGGCACTTAAACAGAGGACTACAGATAATTCAGGTACCCCAAGGATGCTCACTGAAATAACTGGATCAAAAACCAAATGGCTGATTTCTTATCCAATGTCCTTCCTGATTTTCTCTAATTAATCACCCTTGATAAAAAGTTGTTTTAAACTCACATTATAATCTACTTATGTGTTTATTAATTTACTGAGTTTATATATTTATTTGCTTAAATATTACAATAAATTTGGCTCTAATCATTAAAGAAATATTACAAGGTACAAAAGAAAGCATAGCATTTCCACAGGAGACATGAAGCTCTTCTGGCCCACGTAAGCCTGAAAAATATTGCCATGTGAGTCTCAACCAAATTTAGTATCTGTGGAGGATGTAATCAATGTTCATCTATTCTGGATGATTTCACAAAGTTTATTTATAACTTAGACTTGTTGAAACGAACACATTCTGCAATGTTATCAAGAGGTAGAACAGGCAAACTAAGCCACTTTTACAAGTATTGATTTTTAAGCTGTGTCTGCAGAGACATCATTCCCAACCAGGAGACCCTAACTATCTCAGTGTCCTTTGCACTATTAGAAGATGAGAAAGAAACTAAAAGGAGAGTGAAAATTTTTTGATGACAGAAGAAAGATAATTTGGACATGATAATAATGAATGAAGACACCAGAAGGAAGAGCTTATAGGATGAGGTGGAGAACAAAAATACTGACCCCTGAAGTCTGTGCTAGAAGGGATTTTTCCTAAGAATTTTGTATATCACGCCTGTCATAAACATTCAGCTTCATTGTGCAATGAAGACAGATGACAAGAATTTATTGTTCCAACAACCAAAAAAAAAAAAAAAGTAACTACGTTCTTGGAATCTGGGTTTTTTTTTTTTTGGTTCCAAATGTGCAGTGGAACTCTTGTGCCTCCAAGGGCTGGGGGTAGTAGTTTATGTAACTAATCGGATATCTACATAAATATGAAAAATGGGGCAGGTTCCTCTCTTCTCATCTGTTTTAAAGCCAGAACTTGCTCTCAAGTTAAGAGGCGTGCAGACAGGACAGAGATGAACAGTTTAGCTGTCCTACACTGACTCTCTTACATAAGCTTCTGGGTTATGAGGTTTTCTCCATTTAGTTTCCAAATGGTAAGAGGGAAAAGGCTTGAAGAGTCACTTATTAGGGAAGAAAAATGCTTGGGAAGGTTTTAGGTTGGGGAGAACTTTTATAGATCAGAGGATGGTGGGAGACGTGAAGAAAACACTGAAGAAAGACTGGTGGGGAAATACCCTGAGGAAAGACTAAGAGCTTTAGACAGAGAGTTGACAATGGCCGGGGGGGGGAAAAACAACATTAACTTCCTCAAAGACAGGGGACAAGTGAACAGTCAATAACACAGAAATTTTGACATTGAAAAAGAAAAAAAAAAATAAGATGCTGGGGATACTCAGTATCTTAACAGCAAATTAGGTAGTGACATCACATTCTGAGAATGAGTGGGGATGAAATGGGTGGGACTTGGGTCTTGGAAAAGTTGGCCTAGTCCAAACAAGGAATGCAAGGGGGAACTAGACAGATGAATGAGAAAAAGATGACCAACCAGCCTAGGGCTCCACCTAAGGGTAAGCTAGATTCATAGTGGGGCATAAGAAGGCTGTGTTGGGAGTGTGTACTTGAAATCTCAGAGATGGGGCAACTCCAAGTGATGATTATATCTAAGTTGGTATTCTGTGAACACCAAGAGAGACCATAATAGGTGAGCAGATCAAGAAGTACAAGCCCAAGCTGTCAGTGCCACCTACTGGCTTATGGAAGCCAAAGAGGAGGCAAATCAGATACAGAGTATAATTTAAAATTTTCACAGTAATAACTGGATAACCCTTGCTTGACCTAGCCATGCATCATCTGTAATTACAAAGGAGATTCTGGGTATAGATATGGGATAACTCTCAGAACCAGCTAAGTAGCATTCGATTTAGCAGAGCAAGGTGTGTTTAGTTTAAAATCCTACCCTAGCATTGACTCTGATATATCATGGAGGTTAAGGTAGACGGATACTAGGAGCTGGGAGACCCACATCACTGTGTCAGTTCCTACAAGCATGGGTGCCAAGGCAAAGGGATGGTCTTTGCTTCTAGGTCTAGCAGAGTCTAGCATATGCCTGGCTTCTCTGTTTAAGACTTTAACCTAGACTGTCCAAGACGTCAAAGGCATGTGGCCAGTATTTGTATTGTAACTTTCTCTTTACAAATCATTCTACCCAAAAATCGTTGCAAACCCAAGAAAAGAGCCTTTTAAAATTTGCATATCTAAATCTCACCGAGCACCTGGCACACAGATGGTCAAAAAATATCCATGGAATAAATGAGTGAGCTGTGTTCTCCATGATCCTACATTTCTCTAGAACACACTTTCTTTGGGTTTAGGAGTCTCTGTGACTGTCTCCCATTCCTGTTGCACTCAGCACACATCTTTTGAAAGACACATAGCTATCACCTAACTCTGTAAACACAGATCATTTTCATTGGCCATGTAGGCATGATCTGCTTCTTCCTACCTGGTCCACCCTGGGTCCTCCTCTGCTCTTTACCTTGCTGATGCCTGGACTGAAAATCACACTGCTCAACTGACTGTGCCTCCTTCAGCAAAAATGGAAGAGATTTCAGCAAGGGCAATAACAAAGAGGTGAAATGGGGGAGCTTAAGTAAATAAAAAGAAGGCTGCAGAAATATAATGCCTGTATTGTAACCACCACTCCTACTAGACAGAAATCCCAGCTTTTTTCTGCCTCAGGATGCTGATTACCAAAAGTACAACTAGTCCATTCTAACATCTTTGTGTGAATTAGTAAAGGGTGCTCCCTACAGAGGCAGAGGCTGCCCACACCAGAGTGCCTGGCTTGGTGAGATGAACCTGGGGGGAGGGATGGTTTTCCGCCTCAACTAGACGATTTGGGCTTTTAGCGCAGTGAACAAGGCACATCTGCATTCTTTGCCCCCTCTGGTTCCTCACTCTTTAGGGGCTAGGACTTCTGGGAGTCACTCCTGGGTTAAGAACCACAGTCCCATTCTAAAAATTCTACTTTTCTGGTCCACGTTGCATCCTGGCAAGGAAGAAAAGAATCCAAGATAAGCAGGGTGGGCCACTGTTAGATGCCTGTTCTGCTCTGAGTATATACTCTTCCCCATTAATTAACAAAACCAATAGACTTAGTCTCCGTGAAAGGCTTTTTCTGCTATGTAAAGGCAAATTCCAGCTGCCTCTTCATTTTCACTTCTGGGGTTTAGTGCTAGCAAGTGGAAGATTTATGTAGGTAAGGTCTGCCTTACCCAACTCTGCTAGTTCAGTAAAGCTATGGGGAAAGACAAAGGGGTGGATTCACTCCACTCCTCATCAGTAAAGTTCAAGTTTCCAGGGCTTTTTGCAAGGCAGCTACAATCAATCAGGCCGTGAACCTCGGAGTTTGAGTAAGACCATTTGACTTAACCAGGGGCAAATCTTGTCCCATCCCTCTTCTGGCTGGACGGATCTCAAACTGACAACGTTCAACAGGCTTACAGGGCTGTGAAAGTTGGAAGTGAGGTAGGAGGGCAAGTGAAGGTTGTGACTTGACTGAAATCTGAAACTATATTTCCTGGATGTAATCAGTTTCCAGATCATACAAAGTGGGTCTTTGGATCTGACTGAGACATTTTTCCACATTTTTTTTTCTTTTTAAGACAACGACAATGTGGCGTGAATAAAGGGTTGGATTCAATGAATGGAGACCCATTATTGGATTATCACCAGCAATAAGGCTGGCTTCTCTCCACTGCCTTTGCCATGTGAAAAAATTTTTAAATGTCCCCAGGTGTGTGAAACTCTTATGGAACATTCATGTGGGAAGGACTCATATGGGTTTTTCCTTGGGAGAGATGAACTTCTCTGGCTATCTCCTTATTGTTACTCTCTCAGGGTGAGATGCAACTCATATCTGTCCAATGTCAGCCAAGATTCAATTGGCATTTCTGACTAGTAGTCACCACCAACCCCTCCCTCTGGAGCAGTGGGACAAGATCTGGGCAGGTTTTGCCTGTGGCTTGACCTCAACCAGGATTATACCTGGGGTCTCTGTGGGCCAGAAGCTCTCAGGTTTTAACAGGAAAGTTAGTAGGAACTCAGTAAAGGGGTCCTGTGGGACACCCCACCCCAGCCTCTTTCTACTAGTATAACACATATAACACTTATATAACACATTTATAACACATGTTGACTAGATTCAGAATTATGTCACTGCCTCGTAACTTTTTGACGTTCTAACTTCTGGGACCCTTGGGAGAGTAATAGTTTTAACTATAAAGGAAATCAACTCTGAATATTCATTGGAAGGACTGGTGCTGAAGTTGAAGCTCTAATACTTTGGCCATCTGATGCGAAGAGCTGACTCATTGGGAAAGACCATGATATTTGGAAAGACTGAAGGCAGGAGGAGAAGGGGACGAGAGGATGAGATGGTTGGATGGCATCACTGACTCAATGGACATGAGTTTGAGCAAGCTCTGGGAGATACTGAAGGACAGGGAAGCCTGGCGTGCTGCAGTTCACAGGGTTGCAAAGCGTCGGACACGACTTAGCAACTGAACAACAACAACATAAGGTCAGGATTTAGGACTGGTTGCTGAGCCATTCGAGGTCTCTTCTCTCTGAACTGTCTCCACTGTTTTTTTCACAGCCACAGAGTGATCTGGCTGCTCTCATGTAGAAATCAGATAAACAACTAGATTTTGTTCCCCAGGAGAATACGTCAATGAGCACGGCCACTGCCAGATCTGCGAAGCCTCGTGTGCCCAGTGCCGAGGACCAACCCAGGAAGACTGCACAGGCTGCCCTCTCACAAGGTGAGGGACCTTTCTCAGTATCTCCTGGGGTTACAAGCTCCTGAAAGGCAGGATGGAGAGAAGAGGTGCTCACCACCTGGAGGGACCCCTTGGGCATACAAAAAAAAAGAATCATATTCTTTCCCCTGACATAGAAAGCCACCGTGGTCTGCCACAGCTCACTTCTTTGGCATCCTCTTGCCATGGTACCCCATAACCATCATAAGAATAGGTTCCCTGGACACTAGATAAGCCTTCTCATCAATGAAGGCGATAGTGGCTTTGATGCCTAGAATCTCATCCCTTTCTGCACACCCATCCTTCCACCATTATCTCCATCTGCTGAATCTACTCACATTTCTAGAGTCAATTCAAGGGTGAACTGTTCTATGAAAGCATTTGTTACCTCTTTCCAATAGAATTAACCTCACCTTTATGTCCCCTATACTCTGTACAAACTTCCATAAGTGCACTTGTGACTGACATTTTAAGACACTGATTCACAAATCTATTTGTTAGACTGTAAGCCCATTAAAATACTCATCTTTGTATCTCCACTATCTATCACAGTCCTAAGAAAACAGTAGCCACTCAGTCAATGTTTGATAACTGAACAAATGAGGAAATAGCAAATCTCTGAATGGGACGAGCATCTTTGCTAATCACTGAGAATCTCTAGTGAAGAGAGCTGGGGGAGCACACTGTATTTTTAATCAATACTCCTCTATTAATAATTCTAGTATTTAATATTTGTTGGTCTCATCACTGCTCTGATAAATGCAAAGGAAGCAGGATCTCTCCCAAGATCAATAAAATGAGGCTGCTCCAGTGGCAAGTAAATCTCTAGCATGGACATCCCCTCTGCCATGCACAAGAGTTATTTCATCTAACTCTTTATCTGGATTCTAATACCCTGAGCAGGAACTGTTGTGTATTTGTCTCTTTTTTCTCTAGTGATCAGCACACAGTAATATATCAATAAATATATGTTTTACCAAACCTGATAAAGTATATAATTAACATCATGAGCTTGGCTCTCCAAAGAGCTCCCTCAGAAAGAAGAAAAGAAAGGAGGAGGGAGGGAGGAAGGGAAAGAGAGAAATGAGGGAAAAAGAAAGGAAGAAATAAGGAGAGGAGGAGGAAAAGAAGGAAACAAAAGAAGTATCTTACTAGGAATTCTTAATGCTGTGATAACCTTTTCTAAGTGTCTCTTTAAGATACCTATACCTCTTGAATTTGTGTTAAGCCAGCTTCAAGGCATATTATTAGACACAGACACCATTTTGAAAATACATTCTGTTTCTCCTTTAAGTCCTCACCAATCAAACCCTACAGCGTGTTTGAACATCTTTGAACCAAGGGAACTTGTTCCTATTTGTTTAATAAGGCAGCTACCATCACCCAGTGTACACTGAGGAAGTCATGACTGTCCCAGGCTCACCAGAAATGAGAAAAAGGTCAACTACCATCAATGGCCATTTAAAAAATCTAAGCTCATTGGTACAAGAAGATCAGAGGTCTCCTGAGCCATTTGGATAGTTTGGCTTCAGCAGCCCATGGATTAGCTTTTGAAGATAGAAAAGCAAGTGTGTAGATCTCAGAAACTATTTTGAAAGATAGAGTCATTGACTTGTTTGTTCTCAAAAGGGCAGCAAGGTATTTTCTTTAGGTGTTCTCCAAAGTATTTCCTTGACTGGAATCAGATATTTTCAAGACAGTCTTCAGTACCTGCTTTATGTGCAAAGTCAATGAATTTTTTTTAAATAGGTGACGTGGGGGATGTGGGTCAAATTCAAGGGCTGATGCACTCAGGGACCAGAACACTGGGACAGCTTTTACACCCTAGGTCTGAAGCAAAACTTGTAGCCTTAGAAGAAAAGAGGCTTGATAGAAACTGGAGCTGGAGGCGACATAACCACTCCAGAACCATGCAAGGAGGAACCTGCGCTGTGGCTCCAGAAGGAATAATTGCCACAACCTCTCTCCTCCCATCCTCAGATCTCCTGATGGTGTTTCCTTGTCTGAAACATCTGAATTCCAAGGGGAAACACCGCTTACGAGTGAGGAAAAGTGAGCTTAGGAATGCAGTCTCTAGTGGGCACTAGTCTGGCACAGCAGGTCAGAGACAGCAGAAAATGGACATGTGGTAGCAGTAAGGTGCAGCAAATGGGACAGACAGGACTACTGGGCCCTCTGATTTTCTTTCTATTCTTACGCTTTTGGAGAATCTCTAGTACTGACAGAATAAAGGTCATCCCTAAAGGAGCTTTTATTTGGGAAAGAAATGTTAACTTAGAGGTTTTCTTAATATGAGAGAGAAGTAAATCAGTGGGAATGTAGGTAAGATTGCTCATGTGCTGATAATTGGTGAAGCTGAAAGAGAGTACCTGGCCTGGCCGGGGGAGGGGGGGGGTCTGTTATGTCTTGTTTATTTTACACGTTTAAGCTTTTCCAAAATAAAAATTTAAAAAATAATTTAATTCTGAAGTTGTTTTACAGGAAATTGAAAAGCCCTCTCTTTATCTTCTAGTTTTCCCTTTGGTGGTGGTGGTGGTTTAGTCACTTGTTGAGTCCAACTTTTGTGACCCCATGGACCATACCAGTCTCCTCTGTCCACGGGATTTCCCAGGCAAGAATACTAGACTATGTTGCCATTACATTTTCTACAAACCTTTGGATTTATTTTGCTCCTTTGAGATGATTAAAAACTTGGGGTATAGTCTTTGTCATTGCTATATAACATGTATTAGGTTGGCCAAAATGTTTGTTTGGGTTTTTCCATAACACCTTACGGAAAAATCCGAATGAACTTTCTGGCCAGTTCAATAGCTCTATAATGTCATGGTCCTCACTGCCCAAGATAATTTCCCAACCCAGTCCTGAAGGAATTGCAGAGTCCATGAACTAATTAAAAACATGTAAAAGTTTCCTGACCCACCCTCAAATGTTTTATTTGATCTGTTTCAAGAATTCGGGGTGGGAGGGGGAAACCTTTTGTCAGATTTCATTCTGTTACAACATTACCAAGAAATTACAGTAAATATTCTTATGATGGTTTTAGTTAGGCAAACCAACAGTCAACAGAGAAGTCCAGTAAACCCTAACTTGCGACTTTTCTGCTTCAGTTCACTTCTCTCTCTCTCTCTCTCTCTCTCTCTCTCTCTCTCTCTCTCTCACGCACACACACACACACAGGAGCCTCTGGAAAATTTAGTGCCAATGTTGAGAACTTCACCTCTGGCAGCTCTTCAAGCACTTGGTTTTACCACCTTCTTCCTTTCCATGAGGCCTGTTGGACTCAGAATAGTTCACTGCTAATGAAAAGGCCAAAAGCATGTGTGACCTGGGGACAGAAGGGCTTCGCCAGTACAATGAGCTTGCTTGGGTGTCTCAGAAATACACAAACTGGATGACCGGTGTCCCAGAGATGGACAACTGGAGTTGGCGTTAAAGAACATTTTCATCAGCCCCATGAAGCCCACACTAAGATAATCTCTTCTCCTCCACTAGGGGAGATCTGTTAGTATCTGTGGGAATCTGTCACTTGAGATGGGACTTTTCTTCAAGTTCCTTAACAATTTCTCTTAAGTAAGTTGGGGGGCGGGGTGGAGTTTGCAGGAGATGATGTAATTCAGTCCTTCACTCAAGCACAACTAGTTTCCTTATCATTAAATTTTTATAAAGAATCATGTTCTTACAAAAACTGAGTATGTCACTTGTGCTTTCTTCAAGGTAGGGACAGAGGGAGGTGGCTTAAAGCACAATAATTTGCTTTAACTCAGTTCAGTCACTCAGTTGTGTCTGACTCTTTGCGACCCCATGAATAGCAGCACACCAGGCCTCCCTGTCCCTCACCAACTCCCAGAGTTTACTCAAACTCATGCCCATTGAGTTGGTGATGCCATCCAACCATCTCATCCTCTGTTGTCCCCTTCTCCTCCTGCCCCCAATCCCTCCCAGCATCAGGGTCTTTTCCAATGAGTCAGCTCTTCACATCAGGTGGCCAAAGTATTGGCGTTTCAGCTTCAGCATCAGTCCCTCCAATGAACACCCATGACTGATCTCCTTTAGGATGGACTGGTTGGATCTCCTTGCAGTCCAAGGGACTATCAAGAGTATTCTCCAACACCACAGTTCAGAAGCATCAATTCTTTGGTGCTCAGCTTTCTTCACAGTCCAACTATCACATACATACATGACCACTGGAAAAACCATAGCTTTGACTAGACGAAGCTTTGTTGACAAAGTAATGTCTTTGCTTTTGAATATGCTATCTAGGTTGGTCATAACTTTCCTTCCAAGGAGTAAGCGTCTTTTAATTTCATGGCTGCAATCACCATCTGCAGTGATTTTGGAGCCCAACAAAATAAAGTCTGACACTGTTTCCCCATCTATTTCCCATGAAGTGATGCTGAGTACTGTCTTAAACTCAGGCTCTCAAGTAAACATAGACAGCCCTTCCCCTACATAAACATGGCAGCACTACACCCTTTGCTTCACTGCCACACCCACTCAAGTTATTGAATGGTTTTAAAAGGTTCCAACCATTGACGGTATTAGATCACTCTCTCAAGAGAAATAAATGCCCCCAAAACCAAGCTGTCATCTCTTCCCACAAAGAATTAAATGGTGATGTACTTTCCATCTTTTTCTCAATTTAGCAAGAAAGTGAATCTTCACAAATAAACATGCCCCATTCTCCTTCTTAGTGAAGAACAGAGTAGTTCACTTGTTTAAAAACCTCAGAAAGCTCTTACAGAGTTTTTTCATAACGGAGGTTTTTGTCATGTTTCTTTTTTTTTTTTTAACTAGCCACATCCAAATTATTCCTTGACAAATCCTCTAGCTCAGAGACCAGAGCCAGGGTGGGGTCAGGATTTCCCAGCTAGCATTAGTGCCATCAGCTGAACATGTCGGGCCTAAGAGCACAGTCTTCCCGTTACAGGTTGTGGTGCAGGAGATCTGTTCTGACATGGACAGCCAGATGTGTGTGTGTGTCTTTTCTGGGGCTCCACACATTGCAGTGGGCCAAAAGTATTATTCACTCCATTGTGCCGGGTAGGGTGACCAGAACTTGAGGGGCTGAGGATCCAAGAACAAGGCAGCCTTCTTGTGTGGTTGGCCTGAATTCCATTCTGTTTCCAACCAGATGCAAATGACACAGACTTTCAGGGATGAGGTGGAAGACTGCAAGCAACACATACTCAGGATGCCTTGTCCCCACCCCAGTCTCCTCCAAACCCAGGATTGAAATGCCAGTCCTCCATTTAGGGCTGATTCTAGCTATAGAAATAGAAGAAGTTTGACAAACCAATGCCACCCCAGGAACGAGTTGTGACATCATTCTGGGTGGAGAGGAAGAAACCCTCACAGTGTTTGCAGGCCTTCAGCTCTCCCAGACGTGGACACCAGCATCATGCCCTCCGGGGGAGCATGTATGTGCTAATACTCAAGTTACCCTCACGACTGACACCATAACTATTACTCTAAGGAAGATCTCCGAGACGCTGGTTTGCACCACCTGTATGACTTAGGTAGGCGTCATTTAGCAAGTTCCACAGTAACCTAGACCACCGCTGAGAAGTTTTCAAAGTAAATTCCCTAGGCCAGCACCATGAACACGATCCAAGAACTTGTCAAAAATGCAGATTCTTGGCTCTCTCCCCTGAGGATAGACTGAATCCGAAACCCTGGGGTTGGAGCTCCCCTGTTCACTTCATCCATTCACATCACTCATCTGACTTGCACTTGGACATTGTGTATTTTTTTTCTGAGCAAAATTCTTAGATGCAATTTACTTCATCACATGGGGTTACTTTGCAAGGGAAAGAAGAAAGAAAACTTGGAAAATATCAACCATGACATTATGATATATATACTGCATGTATATAAAACCAAAGGTTTTAGAAGCCCTGATACAAACTTATCTGTGGTGCCCTTGTAGGTAATGGCAAACATGGTCTGAAAATAGAGACTGTGGTACCCTATATACCAGGAAACACTTGCAAAAATGACACTCAAAATCAGAGTTCATCGATTACTTGCCAAGTTTGTAAGTAGCACTTAAACTACAGGACAGTGCTTCTTCAAGAGCCCTTGGACTTGACATTTCCTTGCAAGGTGTGGGCACATTGATAACTAAAGAAAGATACTTTCTCGAAAGCCTCTGGATTCAAAGACCACTAACGTGCCTTTAAAGTTCAAAGACCCCATCTGAGTGTTGACTGGGTTTGGCTGGAGCCTACAGTGTGGGTGTAATCCCCCGGGCACTGGTTAATTTGTTTGAAACAAGAATCAAGATTACATCTACAGCCGGTTCCTGGAATGCCTGCTGTTGGGTCCAAATCTTTGGCCAAGGATGGGTACGTGACTAATTCTCCCCATGTTCTAAGATGATCAGTCCCAGGCATCACCCTTGTTTCTGGAACAATGAAACCAAGTCTGTGCAGCAAAACACAAACACCACATGTTCTAATACTTAATGCTGCCCTTACAAACTAAAAGTCTGCTTGCCTCTAGGATTTTTGATGATGGCCGCTGTGTTTTCAACTGTTCCTTGGGAAAATTTGAATTCAGGAACCAGTGTCATCCATGTCACTTCACCTGCCAAGAATGCCAAGGAGATGGGCCTTCCAACTGCACCTCCTGTGGAGTAGGTGAGAGAATCTGGTTGTTCATTTCTTCCCGTTACTTCAACTTGCTCTCCCACTGGACATTACTTTGACTCAGAAGCCTCATCTCTGGGGAAGAGGCGGGTGAGATTAGACAGCTGTTCATTAAAGAGTATGTACAGCCTTAAGAGTTTCTGCTTATTGTCAGAACATAAGTTCACACTGCTAGAGACACAGACCTACTTCCCCTGAGGAGGTGAGAGAGAAGCTAAGAGATGTTTTTCCAGAGAAGGAGAAAGGAAGGGCATGCAAACATGATGACAGGCATGCACTAGACAGCAAAGCTAAGCTTCACTGAGGTGAAAGTGAAAAGCTAGGAAATTAAGACAGACACATTCAGTCTTCAGGAGAAACAGCCTAAGAGAGGCTGTGTCAGGGTTCCCTCAGCCCTGCGTGATGCCACTTAGAAGCTGTCAGAGCCCTGTGGGACGGCAGGGTCATCTTTTCCAAACACAAATATGACCTTTTCTGTCCCAGACCGCCACAATTCTCAAGTTTCTGCTGTCATTAAACTACATTCTGTGATCACTCTGGTCCTCTGCAGTTTGCCCTTGCCTGCTCTCTAGCCTCCTTACATAAGCCTGTCTCCAAATTTGACTTCATGAGGGACTGATTTATACTTTACATAATTAAATTTACTTATCTTTAATTGAAGGATAATTGCTTTACAATATTGTGCTGGCTTCTGCCCAACATCAATATAAACCAGCCATAGGTATATCTATGTCCCCTCCCTGCCAACTTCCCCACCCCACCCCTGTAGGCTGTTACAGAGCTCTGGTTTGAGTTCCCCAAGTCATATAACAAATTCCCACTGCCTATCTATTTTACATATGGTAATGAATATGTTTCCATATTACTCTCTCCATTCATTCCACTCTCTCCTTCCTCCCACTCCCCATATCCATAAGTCTGTTCTCTATGTCTGCGTCTCCACTGTGGTCCTGCAAGTAGGTTCAGGGACTGATTTATATTTTATTTGCCCTACACTTTAAAAATCTGAATGAAATTGGGAAATTATAAGAAGAAATTTAAAAATTGGGAAATTAAAAAAAATTTTTTTAATTTTTTAAAAATTAAAAATTTACTGTATTATCATACCATAAATGATAGCATGATACTCACATTCAAGTTAACAATCTAACAAACAGGTTTGTCCTCATGTATTATTATTAAAAAATGAAATTGGGAAATTAAAAAAAATTAAAAATCAAGGACTGATTTATATTTTATTTGCCCTACACTTAAAAAATTTGAACGAAATTGGGAAATTAAAAAAATTTTTTCTCTTGAAAACTTGGAAGATTTGGCAACACTGCTTCTTCTGGTCCTCAAATGACTGACTGGAGACCTCCAGGCTGCTCTCTATTTGCCATAGTCCCCACCTCTCCCAGCTGTCTCACTGATCCTAAGGCTGTCAGTTAACATCATCACAGCATTTACATGGTTTTACTGGTGGGAAAGAATTATTTAGCTTTATTCTTGCTTGTCATAAAACAAAGAAAAATGAATAAATGAATAGTATCATGTATTTGCAGAAAAATGACGGAGAACACATATCTTTGTGTAAATTAAAATGATTTTTTTGTGTTTGTAAACAAAGTATATCTGTCCAATTCTACCTCTAGCCTGCTTATTCTGTTTCCTTCCTCACCTATAAGATAGTGATCATGGCTGCCTCCTTTTAGGATTATTATGAAAATGAAATGAAATAAAATAATAAAGCACTTAGAACAAGGTGAACTGCACAGGAAGCACACAAAAAATATTAGTAATGATTATTATTACTATTACTATTACTACTGTTTTGTTTGTACCCACTTATTTCTATGGGCATTTCAGTCTCTAGCTGAGTTAGTTTTCTATACAGCAGAAATTAAACACAACTTTTTTTTTTTTTTACACTTGTTAATAACACCACTGATCCCATCAGAAAGGTTTTTGAGGACTGAAGAACTGTCAGGCTCACAAGTGCATGCAATAAACACAACACTTAAATCAACTAGACTTCAATAACAATTTTTTAAATGTATTGTGCCACTCCTGTGTATAAGTTACTCTACATAGGTGCCATGGAAGATACAGTAAATGATAATATGATACTCACATTCAAGTTAACAACCTAACAAAGAGGTTTGTCCTCATGTATTATAAAATGAGAAGATATTAGATAAAGACTGAATGAATGGCAGTAACCCTACCACATGTCACTACTTTCAGCTATAGTGAGCAAAAGAGGCTTCCTGAAGAGGGGATGGTTGGGCAGGTTCTGATTAGCAGGGTTTTCTGCCTGTTAAGAGTGCAATATCCCAAGTCCACATATTAGGGCAGCTAATCCATGATTCAGTGCTACAGAAGATAGATGATGGAATGGATGCAGTTTTGTATCAAGAGGCTTTATTCAAAGGCTGAAATTCCTCTGGCTAGCGAACCCCATCCACACACATAAGCCTCTCCCAACTCTTTGTAGAAACTTCACCTTTTGCTGAATTGTAACTCTGTTAAAGTTAGGTCTGAATCCTTTTGGAAAGGCAGAAGGCTAGTTCTATTGGTGAAAATTCACTCTAGACTCTCACCCCAGTTTATCCTCTACCAAACTGAACCCAAAGCTAAATTCTACCAATTATACAGTAGCTGCAGTAAGCAAAATGTTGAAGTAAACTTTATAAAGTTTATTTTCAGAGTCCTCAGCCTTTCTTTCTTCCTTCCCAGTAATCCTGTTCCCATCCTGCCTGCAACCTTCAACCTTCCTTTCCTTTGGCAAACATCCAATGACTTCACATTGGTCCACCCTCCCTTCTAACAAAATCAGCTGCCAAGATATACTCTGAAAACAATTAATTACTCTTCAGTATAAATGAAAGCCAACCTGAACCTCTCTGGGAGTTCTTTGCTTTTTAACTTTCACCTCACATTGCCACATGAAAGGTTTGGCACCTAACAAAAATATCAGCCCTTCTACTATCAGAACCAGCTTCTCCTACATATCATTACAGGAACTTAAATTCTGAGACTCTGGGCAAGTAGCCAAAATTTTATGTATGATATGCAAATCACTGAGGTATCCAAATTATCACCCAAAGCTAAGTGAGCTGCCATGCTGTCAAGCTATTAGAAATATGATCAAATCTTGGCATAATCCTGACCCAAGCAGGTGGGTAAAGCCTGTCATTTTGAAGGTGCCTACGTGACTTCCTTTTGCACAGTCCATGTATTTTAAACAAGACCCTTTAAATCTCTGTCCTTTAAGCCCAAATTATAATAAACAAAGGGGTTCAAATAACAAAGCCATATCTGAACAATCAAAATGGAATTGAATAACATTTCTTCTAATATCTGAAATCATCATCATTCATTTTTAAGATTGTTGATCCAGTTGGATATGTTTGAAAAACAGGAATGTTGACAAATATGAATTCACTCATTCATTCAATCATTCAATAAACATATATTTAAAACTCACAACCATATGCCAAGCTGTCCCCAAGCCTCTGGATCCCGAGTTGACATCAAGTGAAGGTGTAGGGGATGGACAGGAAGGTGGAGGATAGGGTGGGCTTTTCACTGCTAGCCTTCACATCTTACTATCTACGTGTGGGAAGGCTGGCACTCTGTAAAGCAGGATCTTTTCTCAATGAGTAATGGTGGACTGAAAAGAATACAACTTGGAAAGTTGACCTTTGTGTGGCCTCTTGAGATTCCAGGTCCCACCAGATTAGGGTTCTGTGCTCCAAACCTTGATCTGTAGATGCAGAATCACCGAACACACGTTGCATCCTCCCAAACACTCCCTTCCTTTAGAGGATAATGTTCTTCCAGGTCTAACTTGGAGACTGCAAACACTTTTCTAACCACTTCTTTGGAGGCTCTCTTTATAGTCCTTGTCCTGTAAGGACCAGCAGACTTCTGGCATGAAACTGCCATCAGAAAAAAAAGGGAGCTTCAGAGTTCATAATTCAAGGGTGTGGTTTTTAAACTATATTTGAAATAGGACTTTAATTAAATAAGAAAATTAGGTGAAACCTTTTTAAAGTGCCTAGTTTACAGGTTAAAAAAAACAGCTGACTGTTGGCAATTTCATGTGGTTCAATTTAATATCATTCTGACTTTTGGATTTTGCACTTGTAACATGAGGCCAACACTATCTTAAAAAATCTGGCAGCCTTGCTTCTTGAGGGTCAATGGTTCAGGATCTTCATGTGGTAGATCACATGACGAGTGAGCTCTAGCCCCAGTTGTTTTAGGGAACACAGATATTTTCAAAAGTAGAAGCACATGGGAGGCCTGATTCACAGCAGACAGATGCCCTGGGCACACGAAGCACAAGCGAAAACTTCAGGGGTCGGCGGGGTGTGGGGCAGAGGCTTTCAGGTGCATCTACATTAATCTTGTGTATTTAAGCATGTGATTAGAACGGATTAGAATCCTTTTGCATTGATTATGATAGTTTGCATCCATTTCTCCAGTGACAACATTGGATTCTCCACAGAAGCAAATTCCCAGTCTCATACTGGGGGTACTGCTGATTCTTTCCTTGTAGCGTCCAATGTTGACAGGACTTCCAGGAATTCATGCAAAGGAGTCAAAGAGGGGTGTTTGGTTGAGAGCTTCAGTAGGCTGTCAATACAGGAGTTGGTAGTTGTGCAAAAATTCAGTCCTTAGACAATTAAGACAAGAATGTGACTTTGATAACAGAATTCAAAATCATTCTAAAAGACTGCACTATCATAGAAATGCATCAAGCACCTGTTTATTCTCATGGGATCTTTATAGTCACCAACTCTGAGAGCTTCCACTGATACCAAAAGGACTTCAAGGAAATCTTTTCAAATAAAAGTTTAAAGATACTGCATTTTTCATTCAATCCATTCTTATCTCCTTGATCTGCTGGGAGTAAAAGCACTTGGTCAGATCTTTTAAACAAAATGTCTTCAGCTATTGTTATCTTCATAGCTAATTTTGTACATTTTCCCTCTTTTCATTTTGCTCCGTTCTCTTTAGATAAGCGTGGCCGAGAGCGGTTCCTGTACCGGGAGGAGTGTCGAGAGAGCTGCCCCCCAGGCTACTACCCTGATGAGGGCCACATCTGCCAGCCCTGCCCAGACAACTGTGAGCTCTGTCACAGCACACGCGTCTGCACACGATGTGTGCGCGGCTACTTCGTGATGCCCTCCAATCACAGCTGCCAGAAGTTAGAATGTGGACAAGGTAAAGCTGCCTTGGAGCCACTGCAGACAAAAGGGGCTGTACCCTGGGTGCCCCAGAGACTTGAGCATCTATCTACCTGGTGCAATGGTCACACCTGGATGATTTCCCACGACTCTGCACAAGTGGGGACAGTGATACCTACCCTGTTCTCTTTCCCCAAGAGTTTCCTTAGACACAATCCAAGGACTAAGGCATGAAGCTAATCACATACAAAGAAGGTGAACTCCAGTGGAGGGTTTATGGGAAAGGTATAATGGAGAGAAAATCAGATTAGAATTCAAATGTCCTGGCCCACAATTTTCTCCTTTCCAATCACTAGTTATGAGACCCTGCGCAAAATCAATCTAACTTCTCCATGCCTTGGTTTCTTCATTTGTGAGAGGGACAGCATAGCATGCTCTGTGCTTGCTTGCTGGCAGGAACCAGTGAGAATTAGCCTACTTAAAATGACCGGGAAATACAAAAATGTTCTGGGAATATATGTGTTACTGTTATTGTTCAATTCCTACTTACACTGCAAGAAAGGAATTAAAAAACAGTACATATAGATTTTGCTGTTGTTCATATAAAATGCTGCAGACTTTCTCTGCTGTATAAGAATTATGCCTGGTCTGGTGCTGAAGGAGCTTTAGCACATTTCTAGAATAATGAAGACCTCTTTCTTTTTTCTTCTTAATGCTTACTAAGGTTGTGTGTGTGTGTGCTAAGTCACTTCAGTCATGTCCAACTCTTTGCGACCCTATGGACTGTATACCCCACCAGGCTCCTCTGTTCATGGGATTTTCTAAGCAAGAATACTGGAGTGGGTTGCCATGCTCTCCTCCAGCGGATCTTCCCAACCCAGGGATCAAACCTGCGTCTTTTAAGTCTACTGCATTGCAAGGGTTCTTTACCACTAGTGTCATCTGGGAAGTCCTACTAAGGTAGTATAGAATTTAAAACTTTTAAAAAAGTATTTACGACAACAGACATAAGGAGACAGAGCTTCATCATTTTATATACCCAACCACATTTTCGAAACAGAACTTACTTCTTTAATAGATACAGCACACCAACTTGACTTCAAAACTAGTTGCATGGCATACAGTCTAATTCTGTTCTACTTGTACCCAATCAAGCTAATCCAATCTACTAAATATTTATTAAATTAATAGAAGGAGATAAAAAATGTGGGTGACATACTTATCTCCAAAGCATGGTTTAGGGTTTCATAACTGCTCTACAATTTGCTTGAAAATAAGCTACACACCAACATATTTTTATAGCAATTATTTGTGTTTCCATTCAGTGAAAGCAAAGTGAAACTGTGCTTTTTTATTCCTCTTTATATTGTGTAGGTGAAATCCAAGACCCAGACTATGAAGAATGTGTGTCTTGTGAAGAAGGGTGTCTGGGATGCAGCTTAGGTATGTCATCTTCCCTTTTGCTTAGAGTTGAAACAACTGTGTCCTTCCTACATCCTCTCCTGTCATTCCTTCAACAGGGACTCTTGTCATTGTTGTCATGGTCAATACCCATTATGTGGGCTAACTCTAACACAAACGTGGTTACCAAGAGAGATACTCCCTTTTGAGGCAATGGATAGGTCACTTGTCTTCATGAAACTCAACTTTAGGAAAGGACAATCACACAAGAAGGAAGTAGCATTTAGAGTCAAGACATTTAAAGATAAAATACTAATTTTTTATAAAGCAAAAACAGATCTAAACTAAGTAATCAAAGTATTAAAATCTAAAAGATGAACAATTCCCAGTGTTTCTTATGAAGAGACAAGAGGTGGTCTTTTTTGCAGGGAGCAAGGACAAATGTTTTGACAATCTTGATTTCACTTTCTTGCCCATTTCGGACCATATTTGCCCATTCCCAGCTCATTCGCTCATTTTCCCAGCTAAATTTTGTGGTCTATTTTTTACACCTTTGCTATCGTGTATTGTGTGCCCATGCTAACATCTTTATGCATCATGGACAGAGGGGTGTGTGTGTGTGTTTGTGTGTGTGTACCTGCACGTGCATGTGTGTAAAATCTCAAACCTATGATTTTGACTCTTAAAAGTTTAAAGGGATGGATCAATGTGTGTGGATTTATTTAGGATCAGTGAGAATCTTGGCATGGGGCTGGGAACAGTGACAATCATGATCTGCATTGTACCCACCCCTCCCCTAGTTGATTCGGTTAAAGATGAAACCGAGCCATCTTCCCTGGGAAACAAATTCCATGGAAGACCCTAGCCATCTAGAAACTCAAAATCCAAAAGAATCACTCTGAAAAAAAAAAAAAGAGATAAATTAGACAGTTTGATTCACTTTACAAAGTGCTGTTAAAAGACTACATTCACGCCTTTAAGAAACTTTAATTGTCTACTGTGTGCAGAGTGTTGGCCATGGCAGAGGGAATTCAAAGGCAATGTGATTGAGATTCCGCTGGAAGGACCCCTCTGGCTGCTCTAAGTGGCAGACCTGGAACCGTGTCTTTTGCAAGTCAGCCCGCCAGAGTAGAGAGAGGTATCCAGGGCAGTAGGATTACAGGAGAGGGTGACACAGAGTCACGCAGAACAATCTGCTAATTTCTCATTTGAAAATTTCTCTTAATTTATAGTCTCTAAATGTTGGTCCTTGTTTACTTTGGGACTGCCTTAGCTGAAATCAATCATCTTATTTCTGAAGCTTTCATTAATCTTTCCAATTGAATTCTTTTCTCTTGTTTCTCCTTGTTTGCAGGCCAATGATCATACCTTTTACTGCTGATTTGTAATATTTGGTGTGTACATATCTTTCTGCTTAGACAGTAAACTATCAATACTTGCAAACAAACTCTGTGACTTATACACTCTGCTCCCACTAGAACTAGCAGCATGTCTAAAGTATAATAAAAGCACAACAAATGTGCAAACCCTTGAGAGTTTCCCAAATTCGAAACAGAGATGCATGGCTCAGAACACAAAGGGATTTAGATATATTTTCTCTATTCAAATTGTGTTTATGGGCCTTTCTTCAGGCTCAAAATAGCATTTTACATAATACCATTTTATTCTAAGATTTTAATATCAAATTCTTTGTCTTTCTAACCAATACCTTAAATAGAAATTTTAAATAAGATAAATCTACATAAGCATCCTACATTATATCTCTTCATTAATTGAGAGGGTGAGCAAATAGGATCATTTTTACACTTGACAATTAACTATAACCTAAGATTTGGGGCCCATACCTACATCACCATTGACTTAATGATTGATTTTAATCAAATTGCATAAGATCTCTTTACTTCCTTATCAGTAAAATAGAGGTTAATATGCCTTTATCTGGGCTCAGAAATGGATGATGAAAACTGATTAATATTTGCTTACTAAAATAGTGGTAGTTCCTACTCTTGGGGGGAAACATACATGAATTTGAAAATTTTTAAGTAACTGCAAAAAGAAAAAAAAAACAGACTAGTTAAACTAAACTGAACTAATTAAGGGGATAAATATATGTACCAAGTGAATTTAGCAAAGCAGGAAACCCCCGGGCATTCAAGTGATTAAGAAAGGCTTCTAAGAAAATGGGACTTGACATAAGTCGTAGAGTTTCCATGGAATTGAGACAGATAAAAAAAACAGGGTTTCACCATGGAGGGGCTTTCAGTTCAGTTCAGTCACTCAGTCATGTCCGACGACTCTCTGCGACCCCATGAACCACAGCACGCCAGGCCTCCCTGTTCATCACCAACTGCTGGAGTCCACCCAAACCCATGTCCATCGAGTCGGTGATGCCATCCAACCATCTTATCCTCTGTCGTCCCCTTCCCCTCCTGCCCTCAATCTTTCCCAGCATCAGGGTCTTTCAAATGAGTCAGCTCTTGGCATCAGGTGGCCAAAGTATTGGAGTTTCAGCTTCAACATCAGTCCTTCCAGTGAACACCCAGGACTGATCCCAGGAGGGGCTTTAGAACTAGACAATTGAAAGAAAAAAGGTTTGGAGGCAACAATTTCTGTCACGGATTAGACACTGAGTGTACTAATTTTGCAGAAGGAACATAAGGCTATAAGTAAGCAAAGAGAAGTTTAGAGAAGTGGATGAAAACCATAACTTGAATTCTGGACTCATAAGTTTAAAAGTATTCTGTGGCTAAAAGGGAATAATTGAAGGTTCTTACAGGGGGAAAAAATGCTTTTTAAAGAGGTGTTTTAAGAAGACTAATTTTGTAACTACAATAACTATTAATATGCTCAGGGTAGCTGACAGGGAGTGAGGCTGTAGGCAGAGAAACCAGCTAGAGGACTATTTCAGAATTCCGGGTACAAAGTAACAGGAGCCAGGAAATTATGAAGAGAGAGACATGTTTTAAAAATCACATGAAACAAATGACCCTTAAGCATAAGAAAAGATGCTTAACTTTAGTCATTATGTGGGAAATGCAAATTAAAGCTACTGTAACATGCTATTTCTCACCTATCAGATTGGCAAGATTTCAAAAACTTATAATACACTGTATAAGCAAGGCTATAAGAAAGCAGTCTTAACTTGTGACTGATGGTATGACTGTTGAAGAATGGCTGGCAGTACATAGCACAATTACATATGAATTTATCCCTTGACCTCACGACACTGCTTCTAGGAATTTGTCCTGAGGATATGCATCCACAAACTCAAAACAGCATATTCGCAATGTTATTCATTGTGGTATTATTTGTGGTATATAGTTGGTGTTAGTCACTCAGTAGTACCTGACTCTGCGGCCCCATGAACTGTAGCCCACCAAGTTACTCTGTCAATAGAATTCTCCAGGCAAGAATACCAGAGTGGGTTGCCATTCCTTTCTCCAGGGGATCTTCCCGACCCAAGGATCAAACCTGGGTCTCCTGCATTGCAGGCAGATTCTTTACCATTTGAACCACCAGGGAAGTCTATGTTTGTGGTATAAACATTTTATAAACTATTTTAAATGGCATAAATGCCTTTTTGTGGAAGAAATTCACTGAATCAACTAAAGGACACATACTAATGGTAACTGAATCAACTAATGGACATTGAATCAACTAAATAACACATACTCTTTTATGCAATCATAAAAGAGCAAACATCTATATGAACTGATAGTGATTTCATGATATACTGTTAAGTAGAAGGCAAAGTACAAAAGAATGTACATAGAATGCCATCTTTCTGGTAAGAAAACATGGTTAAATAAGGTATTTGTGTGTATATACACATTTTTTACTTAGTTTAAAATAAGAAACACAGAAAAGATAAATCAGAAACTAATGAAAATGCTTGTGTGTGTGTATGCTCAGTCATGTCCTATTCTTTGTGACCCCATGATGGTAGCCCACCAGGCTCCTCTGTCCATGGAATTCTCCAGGCAAGAATACTGGATTGGGTTGCCATTTTCCACACCAGGGGATCTTCCTGACCCAGGGGTCCAACCATGTCTCTTGTACCTCCTGCATTAGCAGGCAGATTCTTTACTATTGCACCACCTGAGAAGCCAAGAAAATGCATACCCACAGAGAAAAGGGTAAAGGGAATAGGAGTGAGACTTCTCTAAGTATACCTTTTTACATGCTCTGGATTTTAACCATGTAAGTGGGTTACATATTCACACAAATGACATAGTAATTAGTGTGAATGGGCTCCCACTGGTCAATTTGGGACAATTTGAACATTAAAAAAAATGATGACAAAGAATTACAATTCAATTAGTAAAAATCCAGGGGCTTCCCTGGTGGCTCAGTGGTAAAGAATCTGCCTGCCAATGCAGGAGACACGAGGTTCAATCCCTGGTCCAGGAAGATCCCACATGCTGCAGAGTAACTAAGCCTGTACACCACACTACTGAGCCTGCGCCGACATCCACATGCCCTGGAGCCTGTGCTCCACAACAAGAGACACCACTAAAAGAAGCAGCCCATGCACCACACCTAGGGAAAGCTCAAGCAGCAACGAAGACCCAGTACAGCCAAAAATGAATTAAAAAAAAAAAATCCACCCATCAAGAATGGTATTGTAAAAACAGCAATGAAGAGAAGAGAGGACAAAAACTGAATAAAGCAGAAAGCTCTTCATTATAGTAAATTTTCACCTGGTATATATGCAAGAAAGTAATTAGAAAATTACCATTTTACACCCCCTACTGTACTGACTCGAGGGAGAACCATCAGCAGATGCTAAAGTTATTAGGTGGAAAATTGTGCTGGAACACAATGATCACACAGATTCAAAGTACTTCCATAACTACTAGTTAATCACAATAGAGAGATTTGCTGGTTACCAACTTAACCAAGTTATTGCACTGAACATCACCATCACTGGTTCCATATAACCTAACATCATGTGTCTCCTGATGTACTAACAAGTACACAATATCACCTAGTAGACTCAATAAAAGGGTCTAGACCAAAGATTCTCAGCTAGAGCTGACTGT